CCGGAGAAGCAAAAAGACACTGCATTGCTCATTGACGTATTTCCAAACTGCTCTTTCCGAAAAAAAAAAGCATACCCAGCTTCTCATTCTTCACGTTGCTCGACAGCATTTATTACGGTCGCTTTATTTTCGTGCCCTACGAGTTTATGAAGCGCAACGTGGGATCCGCAGGCGTATCCGTCTTTTACGGCTCCAGTCCCTGGCATTTCTACCTCAGTTCCGTCTTGCCTCTTCTAGGATTGACGACTTTGCCTTACATGCTGCGCGGGCTCTACATGGCCCTAATGTGCTCGACGCAGCGCACTCCGACACCTGCTGGCATGAGTGCAACAGCAATCAACGGCGCAAGAGATGTAGCAGCTCTGAAAACCCTAGCTTTCCTGACCGTGTGGTCCATCTTTACTTACTCGTTGCTGGGTCACAAAGAACAGAGGTTCTTGCAGCCGATCGCAGCCATTACCTTGCCCATCTTCGGCGGTCTGGCTCTCTCGTCTCCTCGAGGTGGCATGCCGCACACGTATGTGGCAACCGTCGAGCCGCAGCTCCAGCCTGAGGCACCTGCACCCGCACCCGCACCCGCACCGGCAGCTCTCGCAGGGGCTCCGTGCATAGTTTCACAAGCCGTAGGGCACCTGTCCCTATTTAGCAAGCAGCTATGGACGTCTTTCGCGTCGCTCAAGCGAACTCACCAATGGGCGCAGATCGCACTGCTAGCTCATCTGATTCCCAGCATCTACCTTCTTCGCTATCACTGCGTGGCGCAAGAGCAACTACCTCGACGCATCTCCCAACTAGCAGACAAAGAGTCGTTCAAGAGCATCGCATTGCTCATGCCTTGTCACTCCACACCTTGGCAATCGGTTATGCACCGGCAAGACCTCAGTATCTCTTTCGCCCTCGGGTCGGATTCGGGCGAAGGCAAGGGCGGAAGAGCGTGGGCTCTTACTTGCGAACCGCCACCGATCGGGTGAGTGAGCCAGTCCACCTTTTCTTGTCCCTGTAAGAGCTTGGGAGCGTGCTGAACACTCGTGGCTGCATTTCCTCACCATCACCTCCAGTGCCGATTCCTCTTCGTACGTCGATCAATCGGACGTCTTCTATGCCGACCCTCTCGCCTACCTTCAAAATCGATTCCCAGCTTCCGTCGATGCGCGCTTTCAGCCTTCTGCCATCGGCGCAGCAGAATCGGCAGCTTTCATGCCGCTTTGGGAAGCTCTGCAACTTCGTCGCTCAGCGGACACGCCGCAGGGCGTGCGTGTGTCTGTGCGCGTCGACAAGAGCGCATCGCCTTTGCACACCTGGCCCAGTCACCTCGCCGTCTTCTCCAACCTTCTCACAGTGGCTTCGCCGACATCGGCCAGGTCTGGGCGACCATCAGCGCCGACGGATACTGTGGGGGCCTATCTTGAAGCACTGGGCTACGTGGAGCTGGAGAGACGCTTCAACTCTCTTTTCCACGATGATCACAGGAGGAGCGGTGATGTAGTCATCCTGCAATGGCAAGGCTCTTCTTGAATAGCACAAAATTTCATAAGGAGACGTGTCGAGCATGCTCATGGAAGTTCCAAGGTGTATGCGCTTGGAAAGACGAGCTGGGGGTCAGAGGCGCAAACATTTGCAGTCAGCGTCTCGAGCCCCACGCTGCGCAAACGGGCTGCAGGATGCCAGCAAGTCCCCTCTACGATTCTGGGCACAAGCCTACGAGACAGCAAGCTTGAAACATCCATGCTTCTCACCTCATCGACGACCGCTTTCCTGATCAGCTCCAGGACGAATTTTTCGACCTTGCCGACATTTTCCAGCGTGTGCTTGTCTGCTTGACCCACACTACTTTCCAGCGTGAGGTGCGGAATGAGCTTCTCGCCTAGAGAAAGGGTCGGTCCTGAACTTGTAGCGGCACTGGGTCTGGCACTAGCAGCAGCGGGATTCGCTCCGCCCTGTTTCTCTCCCGCTTCGTCCAGCTCCTCATCCTCCAGCTCCAACTCTGGCTCTACCAGACACAGGTGCACCGTCTTGCCGCTGCTTAGAGGCTCGAAAGCGACGACCGCTCCAGCTTGCAGTACCAAACTAGTCACCGTGATGCTCAATGGCAATTCCATGAATGCGGGACTGGGATGATTGATGAGCAGACTGGTCTGAAGCGTCAATCTGAACGTGCTCGTGCTCCAATCCAGGGCCAAGTGCAGCTGAAGCGGCGGTAGCTGACCGGCTGTAGCCGCTTCGGGCTGCGAGAGGCCTTGCTCTTGCTCTTGTTGACGCGCCTGGCGGGTGCGGATAGGGATAGGATGCGGAGCAGAGGGTGAGACAGAGGGTGAAGCCTCTGGACTTTCCCTCGCTGCTGTTTGTGCTTCCAAGCGGCTCGAAGCATCTACTCGACCCATACCTGCAGCACCGGCACTCGCTGCACGGCCAGCTAGAAGGGAAAAGTTTGGAAAATAGCCATAAGCTGCACCTGCACCTACGCTTGCGGGTGTTCTGGCATAGCCTAGACCTGCGCCTGGCCAAGCTCCATAGCCTGAAGGAGCAGGCGTGCCGACCAGGCTAGCGCCTTCCCAATTACTATCCCTATCGTACTGGCTCGTACCCGTGCCGTTGGGATGATGATGTTGAGCACCTCGTCCGTACTGTCTGTACGTCTGCATCCTCGGACCTCTCTCGAATTCCGCCCCGACACCTTGGGCATCCGCATGAGGATTCGCTTGAGCTTGAGCGTAAGACGCTGCTTGTGCGCCCCCCGCGAACGGAAGATTGCGCTCAGCAAATCGGGCAAGACCCTGACCTGGTTTAGATCCGGCCGGTCGAGGAGCGTGATGCTTCACCTTCACATTCCGATCGCCGTGCATACGCAACGGATCCATGGCGTTATCGAAAGATGACGCCCTGGTTCTGTAATCATCTTGACCCAAATTTTGTTGTTCCTTTTGTTTCTCTTGCGAGTTCATGCCCAACGATTCTCGCAAAGGTGATCCGCCCGGGCCTAGCGGTACTTCGCCAGAGAAATCTCTCCAGACATCGCCCACGTCCACCAAAGTGATATCCATCGCATCGCTGCCGAAATCCAATTGAGATATCTTGATGGGACCTAGGAAAGAGGGCCTAGTGGTGCGCAAAAGAGCTTGGTTCAGCTTTTCTTGGATTTGAGAGGCTAGTGCAGAGTCCAGCAAAGACCAAGAGATATCTAGCGACATGTCTGGGCCACTGCCCTGAATGCCGTTGCAGACTGCAAGGGACGAGGGTTGGGTTGCGCGAATGGCCTCCCTTCGGAGTGTGGAGTCGATCGGCCAGAGTGTGTGAGGATAGCGAGATGCTGAGACACACCGCACTGTCAATGTTGCGCGTGAACGAGCGTGACGGAGTTGTTCGGTGAGTGATCATCGGTCAGAGTTGACACGATGCACCAATTGGCCTTGGAACCGAAGAGCATATATGCAGTCCATAATCATCAATCACGAATCTGAATGGTGAACATTGGTTCTGGCCAGATAGCTGTGTGATACTGATCGGCCGAATAAGTCCGGCGTGGTGGGTACAATCTGGCATATCGTGGGCGCGTGAACAGTCATCATCAGGCGTTTGCCTGCATGCATCAGAAAAGCGGAGGCGAAAATCAAAATTGAATGGCGGATGGTCTCTGATTTTGTTACTCGAGGGCAAAACATTGACGGCTCAAATTCACTTTGATTTCAACAATGTCCGTCCGACTGAAATTTGAGCTTCATGCGGCGAGTAAACGAATTGGCGATGTGAGAGGAAGAAATGCAGGGCTGATCGACCAAATCAACACTTGACCCCCGCTGCAGGTCCTCTTCTCACCTCTCACATCTCATCTCTCACCTCCACCGCGCTCATCTGCTCGATCCGTCACTGCGCATCTCAGAAGCATTCACCATGTCTTCCACCTCATTTCCCGCCTCTGATGGGCCGTCAGAGACGCACGACGTGTCTCTTGCAGGTCACGACGAGGAGCAAATCCGCCTGATGGAAGAGAGATGCATCGTGGTCTCACCTTCAGACGATTTCATTCGAGATGGCAGTAAGAAGGAGTGTCATTTGATGAGCAACATCAATCAAGGACTCTTGCATCGAGCTTTCTCTTGCTTTGTATTCGATCCTGTACATGGCAAATTGTTGTTGCAGAGAAGAGCAACGGAAAAGATTACTTTTCCCGATATGTGGACCAATACGTGTTGCTCTCACCCCCTCGCCATCAAGGGAGAGTTGGAGGATGAGAATCAGATTGGTGAGTGTGTGGTGCGGTGCGGAAAGCTGCGTGTATGCGCGTACGAGAGCAGCTCCAGCGAGCGCGGTGCAACCTCGCGACACTTCTGTGCGCTCCTCTTGTCACTTGGCACACGCAAGATTGCCCAGCAATGCCACTCGATTCTGAAATCTCTCTGACCTTCCGACTCTCGACTTGCAGGAGTCATCAGAGCAGCGCAGAGGAAGCTGGAACACGAACTTGGTATCCCTCCTGAAGAAGTGCCTTTGGACGAGTTTCAATACCTGACCAGGATTCATTACATGGCTCCATCGGATGGGATGTGGGGCGAGCATGAAAGTGAGTATAAAGCAGAAGGGAGACCCAGACAGTGTTCCACTCCAAGAATAGTGTTGCGGGTACGTAGTGAATGAGCAAGCGGGCGGCGCTGCACGGGAATTTCCCGAAGGTGCATCGTAAGGAGTATGCATGGCGCTCTCGCACACAGAATTCGCGCATTTGTCCATCTGTGATCTGACACCAGCTTCACTGGGTTTGCTCTGACACTACATTGCACCCAGTCGATTACATTCTCTTCATCACAGCTCCGGTCACAGTATCCGAGAATCCAAACGAAGTGTCCGCGACGCGCTGGGTCAGTCCCGAAGAGCTAAAGGAGTTCATGAACGAGTTGGATCGTGAGTGTGTGCCTACGCAGAGCGTCGAGGCAGCAGCTTTTCCGCACATGCGCAACACACTCATAGCTGAACTTGCCGACGTCGGCTCGATCGATGTGGTGCGCGACCATCACACAGCAACATCCTTTACACCCTGGTTCAAATTGATAGCCAACAAGTTCCTCTTTCCATGGTGGGCCGAGCTGCTGTCGAACAGAACGCTGCTGCCAAAGAACAAGGCTTCTTTGCAACAAGCAGAAGCTACGTCTCAGCCCGTCGTGGATGCGCAGCACTCCTGCAAACGCTTCTACGATCATGCAACCATCCATCGCATGCTTTAGAAGACTCCAAGAGCAAGAACTCAAGTCAAGAGAGGAGAATGTGCGCATTCGTCCCGATACCCGCAAGTGGACGAGAATGAGTATTCCGCTTGGACCGACATGCCCTTGAATAAGGCTCGATCTTGGCAAGATGGGAAACGCGGTTACTTGTGCAGCGATCACGGGAGTCAAGGTTCAAACATGCAAAATTTGCAAAATCCAATTTCCCCGACGCACAGATCTACCGCGGATTTGAGCGTACAAATTGATTTTGCAAGGGGACCACTTTCACAGCGAACCTCAAGGTCGAGCGGAGCAAAAGATGTATACATTCGAAGAGGAAGCCTACAGCTCGATCGGCATAACACGCGATCCCACGAGCTGTTCTCATGAGAGTGAGATGGCAAGCCGCATGAGAGCTCTCTGACCCTGTACATTCACGCGATTTGGCAATACTGATCTCACATGAAATCCTCAAGGTCTAGCCCGCGAGCATCTTTTGCGCGGGTCAAGAGGGCGGGCCAATTTGGATGGTACGCTGCTAATCACAGGAGCGCTGCTTGGACGTCTGAAGTCAAAGAAGAAAAGATTCTCTTGCGAGCATCAATGCACTGCGTTGCGTGCGAAGCATTCGCTTCGCTCCACACATCTCGTCGCCAGACGTAGAATTCGGCTGATCTGCGCCCAACACCACTGCGCTCTGCTAAGAAGGCGGCGCAGCCTCGTGATTGCTGTTCACCGCCCTGGGCTGCGTTTCGGAGGCCGAGGCTGAGGTGGAGGCAGGCCTAGAGACAGGCGTGAAAGTAGAGTCGTGCGGAAGACCGTGACGTTTGAGCCAAGCGGTCCAAGCTTCTTCCCTCGTCCTCCTCTCAACGCTCTGCAGCAATTTGAGCCTGATCGAAGTTTTGCTCCCTCTCGGTCTTCCCGCTTTTCTTTTGGATACCACCTCTTCCACACCACCACCACCATATTGACTTGCGAACCCATGCGCACTCGAAGCATGTGTCTCGTCTATCCCCTGCTCTTTGCCATTGTGAGTGGACGGCTCGGTACTTGGCGAAAGATGGAGATCCAGTTGATGTGGAGATTGCGCGAACTGGCCCGTCGTCCCACGCACCGCTCTTCCTTCTGCGCTTGCGGTTGCTCCGCCTCTCCCGCGAGGAAGTCCATAAGAGGTAAAGGGCAAATCCCCTACATGTCTCGCCAGGCCAGGAAATGTAGGAGTTTGGTCAGCTGACGGAAGATGTTTGGGTTTGTTGGCCTTCTTGTTGCTCCCAAGCGTCTGCGAGTGCGCATTTGGAGCATGCTTTTTACCCTCATCGGCAATTTTCGGACGACGGTTGAATGCCGATGTGTCGACATCTTCGAAAGATGGTTTTTGCAACTTGGAAAGATCATCGACGACGAATGCGTGAGAACGAAGTTTGGCTTCTTCGCCCGGCTTTTCGTACTCCATCATTTGCGTGCCGTGCTTGTAGGTCTGCCCTGGCGTCATGTAGATGAAAGCTCGAGAGTGATGAACACCTGTAGAAGTGATGCCTCCTGCTGGAATCAAATTGTCGTCGACATCCCTTGCTGAACCGACAGCGTGCAATGCGGGTTCTTCGCGTGATCGACCAAATCCGTGCTGCACCTGTACCGAGTGGAGTGGCAGGCACGTTTGTGAGACAAGGTAAAGACAAGTCGGGCCCTCATCAGTTCCAGGCCAATGTGGGTTGTGGATACGAGTGCGGAATGCACGCTCGCTGACTCGACACTTCGCAATTCGAACAAGACGTACTCACCACAAAGGTCCTCATATGAGGCATAAAGGTCTTCTTGTAGTGCTGCACCGCCTTTCTTACGGCCCTGTTGTGTTCATCCGCAGTGCTAGTTGAAAATCTGACCTGTAAAGCGGGGCTTGGCGCAGGGTTGAGTTTCATACCGGGAGGAGGTTGGCTGGGTGGATCAGCCGCCGATAGCAGGAACTGAGGCGGACCGGAAGCTCCACCGACGATGGTAGCTTCTGATCGAATCCTTCCTCCCTGACTTGCATATTCGGGCCATCGTTGAAGCCACGCAGGAGGAAGGCTTGTGAAACCTCTGTAATCACCAAGCGCATTCAGTTGTGCGCTCACGAGGTGGTTGTGATCGGATGAGGTTGATACTGCTGCCTCCGTCGTTGGTGCTATTTCAACTCTGTGTGCGGGTGAAGCGGCGCTGGACTTGGGGGTAGGCTGGAACACTTTCACATTGTCAATCGCTGAGCTCAGCACCTCCTCTGACTCGGGCAGCTTGTTGAGATCGAACGGCAAGGGAGGTTTTCTTTTGTGCAACGATGCTTTGAAGAAAATGTCCTTGGCTCGTGTGGTCTCAGGCGAGCATAGCAAAGATAATGCGAGCGCAGAGACGACAAGATGATGTGTGTCGAGGAAGGGTGGGATTTTCATGCTGTACGATCAGGAAGAGTACGCCTACCGACATCAGCTCGAAGGCGCTGCTTTGAGTTAGAAGGGAGCACGGTGAGATTGTGTTTCACGGGCAAAAGGATGCAATCTTTGAAGTTGAATCAACGGCGGGCCTCTGTTTAAGTCAGCAGGCTCGGACATCCAGTGAACTACGCTATGTCGCGTGTCATTGCCACTCGGGATCCATCTCGACGTACACACGCCCAGCCGCCGTTCGAGATTGAGTGGCGAGTTGAATTCTCACTTATCCGTGCTCTTATCTGTACCGTGGGCGCTCGACGGTGATGTTGACGATAGAAGTGCTCAGAGGGATCCCATCGCCACCGATGCATGCCGACGTAGCGGGCGAGGCCGGGAAGCGGTGGTGATGGCACGTGCGTACGCTTGACTAGCATTTCGATCAAATAATAGCGCCCCTGCGACTGCCAATTTTGGTGTGGTCGCCGTTATTCGACTCTCCTGAGTAGAGAATGCCGACACCTCACCAGTTGCAGCATCCCTGAGCAAGCGATTTAAGGTCGAATGCACCCGCTAAACGTGCGTGTCTGCTTAGCAAGATTCGCCACAAAGCGTCAACCGCCCAAGAGATCGGCCAAAGGTCTTTTGTCTCTCCAGCCTTTGCGGGCCGCTCCAAGCCTCTAATCGCCCTCCAGCGACATGTTGCCACCAAAATCACGGTGGACTCTTGCCCACGCAGGAGTCTCTGTCTCTTGTGAACGCATATCCGACATGGACATCTAACACTCTCACCATTCACCTCATTGTGTCTGACTGTTCCATCCATACAAGCGCGACTTAGCAAATCCCTCTGCCCTCTTCTTGAGTGCGCTTCGTGTCTTGCGTGTTTGCATCATACGTCCAAGACAAGCAAGCCGCCTTCGAAGCGAGCGACGCATTCGATGTAAATGTAGTTTCTTGATTAGCGGGATAAAGAGATGAGCATACATGCGTTCTCATCGCCCTTCACCTCGATAGGAGGACTCACGCGGAGCAACGAAATTCATACCGTTTAGGTATCAGGCGTACCGAGTCCGAATCACGAATGCAGGCAGAGCAGGGGGGGATGCATGCATGCATGCATGCGGGCGCGAGCGAGGTTGTTGCTGTCTGCGCGCGTAGCTCAGGACGCGTCGCGAAATTGGGTATCGCGGTTGTGGTTGTGATTGGAGGCAGCGTGCAGCAGGCAGCATGCAGCAGGCAGCAGCAGCGTCTCAGCAATCACAAGCACAATCATAATCGTGAATCGTGAATCAGATGACGCCTAGTGCTCGCGTTCGTACTCCACTCCCGAATGACCTCTTCCTCTCAACGCGCTCAGTCGACACTCAAGAGATCTCCATGCACCGATAGGTCTCCATCGGCTTTCTCATTCTGCTTCCCACGCATACAAGCTGTCTAGAGCGCATCACACAGACGCCTTTCCCATCGCGGCTCTGTTTTGCCATCCCCAGTCCCCGTACGGTCTCTCACTTCGCCGATCATCCACCAAGCAGAGACGTCAGCGTTAAGATCGTATCTAAATCCCTCGACAACCGTCTCTAAAGGCTTGCAGAAGGTCCAACTCGTCCTTCCTCCCGCTCCTGCCTTATGACTACAATGTCGCGACAGTCCGGTGCTCAATCTGCTCGAGGGTCAGTCTACGCCCCAGTGCCCATGTCTCAAGGAGCTCCTCCCGGCGGATCTCTGGGCGCCTCAGCCTCCCATTTCCAAGCCTCATCCTCAGCTACCGGACCTGCACCTACGGGGGCAGCAGCTCGTCTAGCTGCCAAACAGGCCGAATTGGCAGGACTTAGACAGTTGAAGGAACAGAGCGCTAGGCTGGCTAGGGATGTGCAGGCTTTGGGCGATGGAGTGGATAGTCTTGTAAATGGTGGAGATGGTGAGTTGTCAGCTTGTCCGATGCGAAGCCATAGTCATCGTGTCGTGATGAAGAGGCAGGCCATCCTTGATCATATGCGGAATCGTATGCGATGCTGGGAGTGGAGGAGTGCTGCAAGGCAATTCCTTTACCGAGAGGCCGCAAGCAACCCTTCTGCGATCATGGAAAGATGCTAGCTAGCTCCAAACCCCAGATGCACTCAGGGTCCTGCTCGCCGAGTGTATACTCAAATCATCCCGCGCTCATTCTTCTACCTTCTCACCGCACATCGCAGCCGTCGCAGCAGTTCTCTCCAGCTGGCAAGGCGTATTCCGAGCAATCCAACTAGCTCAAGGTGAGTCGTGTCCTTCCTTCAACCGTCGTCTGATGTCTCTCTCCTCCTTACTGACCCCATCAAATGTTGCACAACCCAACTCCCGAACATGGGGGATAAAAGCCTCTACATTGAGCCGTGACGCAGGTCTGGCAGATACGGAAGAGACACCAGGAACTGCGACTGGGACGTCCTTCGAGGCTGCTTTGCCAGACACCTTGGTACGCATTCCCGTCGATGGACCGGGTGCGGAGGCCAGCGCAGCGGAGGACAATAGCGCGAGGGAAGAATGAGGTGTGATCTGACTGGCTCACTTCAAGTCTGTAAGCACTGCGGCACTTGGCCTGTTCCCCTTGACAAGCTCAAAGTTCAAAAGCTCCTTCAATCTGCGGCCCTCGATGCTCCTTCGGAAACCCTTTGTACACTATCGCTACCTTCACCATCAACGCCCTTGTAGCTGATATGCGCGTTCCACCTCAACCAGCAGTCCACACTCTCGACGCTAGCGCCGCTGCAGATGCCAATCTTTGAGAGGTTGCGATTGACATGCGGCTGATGTGTAGCAATTCTCTCATAAGCCCGATCTGCCTGCTCTTCTTTGCTCCTCCCTCTGCGCCTCTTCGACTCCGTGCTGCAGCTTGCGCTTGAAGGCGGATTGGTCGCGCAGCCATTGGCGATAGGTGGAGAGGGAAGTGACGGACTCGGCCTGTAGGTGATAGACAGGCAAAACTGTGAGCATACATGATGAACCTCGACCTCGCTTTGGCACACGGAGGCCTTGCTGCCCAGCAAGTCAGCCGCGTGTCTTATTTCCTGCTGCACTTGACCCTCGAGCCGCCGCGCTGCATCAACAATCAAAGGATTGGATGTCGGCAGCACACACACTCGACTCACGTAGAAGTCGGGCAAACGATTCTGCATCGTCTGACCAAGCGCATCAGCCCTGTTCCTGACCACATGTTTCCAAAATTCATTGTCCATCCTTTCCGTCTCCTTCCTCTTTGCTCTGTAAACCACAGCCCAAAGACCATTTCCTAGTGCAGGTCCTACCAAGTAGCCCAAACCTCCACAAGCTGCGGTGCCTAGAATGGATAGGTAGACCGGATCTATACCGGCAAAACCTGGTGTGGATGGATCTATGGTCGCTGTGAGGAAGAATTGTCCGGATGTGAGGAGCGCGACGGCGGTTAGGGGATATGTAGTCACGCTTCCCCATCGTCGACGTGATGCTCGAAGCGACAAGTCTGATGGCGTGGCAAGTAAGTAAGCGAAGGGGGTCCAAAAAGGTACCAAGGAGAAAGATGAGCAGGGTAGCGGTTGCAAAGTGTTTCCTTCTTAGCCTTGGCGGGTGCAGAACGCTTGTGAACTCGACTCACATTCGGTCCAGGTGAGAGGCTGCAAAGACGTATCGGAAGGCGGTGCAGTCTTTCCAGCAGCAGCAACGGGTCTGCACGCAGCTTCTTCCTTCTGGCATCTCGCAGAAGTGTGCAACGCGGAGCGCTGATGGATCGCAGGCTTGATGCCAGCACTCTGATTGGTGAACAG